GAGAGACAGAGAGAGAGAGAGAGAGAGAGAGTGAGAGAGACAGAGAGAGAGAGAAAGAATGAGAAAGACAGAGAGAGAGAGAGAGAGAGAGAGAGAAAGCTAGAGAGAGAAAAGAAAGTAGAACTAAATATATTGCTGCCGTATTAGATCTTCTTCCATTTCGTTTTCAGAAAAAAACACGTTTAACTCAACACAAAACTGCATGGTATTATTTCAAGAATACTTAGGCTACTATCATGTACAAGTCGAACTTTCAAATCAGATACAATTTTCTTCAGGATAATCATAATGCTATGTTTGTAAATATATGAATTTTGCATCCTAAATATTTTTTCATGAAAAGCAAGGCAAATGAACAAGCTTTCAGATTATAACAATATGACTGCATATGCCCAACATTTGATAAGCGCTTGATTCCACCGTATCATGACACATATATGAATTATAATACTCTGTTTCTTGTTCCAGCTATCTTTACATATTTATGAAAAACACACAATAAAAAAAAAACTATTTTAAAATCTACCCTTATTTCCTTTTTGTAGGTTGAACTAAGACTCAATGAAAGCAGAAATTACTCCACTGTTTTTCAGAAAAGATTTTTAAGCACTCTGCTAATAAGTAGTCGCTGGCATTAAATGCAACATCGTCATATTTCGTCTGCGAGCCTTCTCCCACATATATCAGAACTTTTGGGGAAACTTTGCTTTAAATCTGAGCAACTTTCACGTACCACTTTAACATAAAGTAACATAATATATAGCAAAAATATTACATGTATCATGAACTAGTTTGTAACATCAAAGATAATATGACATAGAAAAAAACAACATGCTGTCTTGTTCATTATTAAAAAAGAAAAAAAGATATTTAGCCAGTATCATAAAAAAACAAAAACATAAGGCCACTAAAAAATGAAATCATGTCGTGAAATTCTAAGACATGAACATACAATTTTTCATCGTTGTTTGCTGCTACAAAACAGGACTCGGAACCAGTCCGTCCCAGCCCATGACAGATGTGTGCATAATTTGTCTCATGAACACAACAGAAGCAGATCTTCAGTCTTGTTCAAGAAACAATTTTAAAGCTCAGAATTTGTTATACAGTGACAGCCTCTCTATAACAACCTTCGATATAACGACATCCTCTGTATAGCGACATGGTGCCCAGGTCCCGATGTTTTCTATGTCATTAGTAATATTTTTGGTTGCCTCTCTATAACGACAACTCTCTATAATGACAATTTTTTCGGTTCCCGATCATGTCATTATGCAGAGGCTGCACTGTATTACTTTCCTCTACTAAATAAAGCGCGACCTTTCCCTAACCCCCCCTCCCCCAAATTAGTTTACTAAACTGCAGTATGGAAGCCTCTGCTCTACGATGAAAAGGCAAAACATGAGCTGTATGGTAAGTGTGTGACAACCACAAACTAACATACTTCTGTATCCCACTGGGCTGCTGCTTTTTCTTTCCTCATCCTGACTATCGTCATTTTTCATTTTGTCAGCACGCCTCACATGTATCTATACAAATCTGAAGTCTGTAGCTTTATCCATCCAGTTCACAAGATGAAACAAGATTTTTTAGCTTCTTACATTATAATGCCTTCACCAAAGAGTGAGAAGTTTTTGGTTTTTTTCGTG